GATATATCTTTTCCATTGCGTCGCATCCATAAATGAATATCACCCGATGCATGAGTGCCTTCAGCGCTTCCGACCTCGGTATTAGCTAACAAAAAATAAACACCTGCTTTACTATACTTGATGGCTCCAGATTCGTCATCGGTTATTGTATCTATTTTATTGGCTGCAATAACACCATCCAGTATAATTACCTCTGCACTCGAGCTATCCAAGTGAGTTTTCGAGCTGAATAGTACTGCATAAGGAATTGTGTTAGTACCATGACTGAGTTGGATAATCGTGAATATTACACTAGGAACTAAGGGTTCCTTTTCTGGTTGCGTAGCAATCAAGCCGAGACGGGTACATTCTTCATCTGCGTGGCCTGAGTAAACTACTTCGAATTTATAATTTGCAGAAGCCTGAAAAATTAATGAATACACAAAAACCGATGTACTTCCATGATCGACCGATTGTATACCATTTGAGTCAGGCACATTCACACCATCTTGTCGCATCCATATATCAATTTGTCCTTTACCGTTTCTACGTGGACCACCAATTTGAGCGCCCAATACTAGGAGATAAACACCGTCCTTTTCAGTTACAAACGTGCCATTGTAGAAGGCAGTGAAATCATGCGATCCATCATTACTATTGTGTGTGATCACTTTCCCTTTTGATCCACTTATTTGACTCTTTGAACTAGATCCTTGAAAGTATGCGACGTTATCGATTATTTCGTCATTACCTTCAGTGATCAATAACTCGTTGCTCAGGACAAATATTACCAATATTACGCTTAATATTTGGTATTGTTTTTCCATGTTAATTTGACAGAAATTGATAATTTTCTTCGTTTTTCAAAAGCTTCGTTACTGAATAGTTACGTTAAGATGAAAAGTATATATTGCTTATCTGAAAGATAAAATCAGCCATGTTGAGGGTGTGGGTGAAAATTGATGAGGTGAACATCGATATCCACACTTTTCTTAGGGGGATTTATTCTCCCAAAAGAAATGGTTCGTAATTCTGATTATTATTGCTGAACTATCCTGAGTCACATTCTCAAATACTATCTTTAAAATAGTATCTTTAGATTGATTTAAAAAATCCTTTAGATATCTTTCGGAACTAGACTCGTGAAAGATGTCGGTTATTATGTGTGAATAGATTTTGAAAGTTTTTCAGTAACATCATACTCCAATATTTAATATAGCCAACATTTTTTGAAGATAGTTTGGTTAGATAGAGTGCAGATGCTTCTGGAATATCCTTCAACCATATAGTTTGATGAGTTACGTAACTTATTTCTATCTACACAAGTAGTTTGAGTTGTATTTCATCTAAGTTAATCATTGAACTAAAGTCAAAATCCAAAAGTTGAGTTTTATAGAAAGATTTTCTGTGAGTTTTTTAAATCATAGTGCTTCTGAGCTTCTAGCACCTAAAGAAGGTCTTAGTAAATAATATTTTTTGAAAAGAATAAAATAAATACATTTCGTATCTCATATTCGAGCTTAACGATGATCAAGCTCATTTCTACAAAATCTTGTGAGAATTCGATACAAATTCTACGGCGCAACGATTGATAATTAGTGAAAGATGCATCCTCTTAGATCAATCAAAGTTTTCATACCATACGTTTTGATGAAAAAAAGAAGTTAGAACACACGAATCTCAATAAAAATGAAACTTACTGTATAAGATTATTTTAAAGAGAAATAAAAAAAAGACAACGACTGTTGATTTGAAATAAAAAGTACGCTTATCTTACTTGGGAATAATATGATGAATATGAGTTCTTGATATTTTTATCAAGCAAAGCTCACCTTTAAATAGGTACTTGCAAAGGGTCGTTTAATAGCTGCAATAGGTAAGGAGAAGAAGACTATTTTAGAGTAAAACTGATGATTATGCAGAAAAATACACAAGTCATCATATGATATTATTTTCATGTGTTATCATCCTTTTCATCATATATTTCTTTATGTATATACGCAACTCTTTTCTCACCTCGAGGGTAGCAGTAGGTATACAAGATTTCTTTATAAATTTTTATAATTGATGAAGTAATGGTTCGTCTCAGCTGGTAACCAAATTTGTATATATCGATTATTTTTTCATTTTCAATTCAAATGGAGAAGGTAAAAACATAGAGCTGCGATATGCGAGTCGAGCATCAGAGTAAATAAGCAGATGCACAGTATCACACCAGTTGATGTTGAAGACGAATGTATATAAAGAGATTTTTGCAATAGATAAGAATAAGAAAACAAAAACAACTCCAAAGTATTGTGCTTGATGAAAGTAAGAGGTGTGGGTGGGTATGAGTATGGGTGAGTGTGGGTGTGGGTGTGGGTGGCTGGGTGGATACGAGAGTGTGTGGGTGCGTGTACACGTGAACAGTACACCCACACCTTATTGGTATGTAGAGTTCTACATAATTACTGAATTTTTCAGTGAGTAAGTTTCTAGAATCTCGTTGAAACCTATTAATAACATTATAATCACATTAGATTCAGCTTCGCTTGCAAGTTAGCGAATATTAAGTTGGAAAAAGTGATGTATTGTGTTAGAATGATGACTTGTATGCAAGGTATTTAAATTTATTCCCAAAAAGAAAATGAAGATGATATCAAAATTAATATTATGAATGAGATCTTGAGTAGTTGTGGCGAGTCAAATGATCATATTTGGTGAGAGAGTTGCAAAATTCGAGAAAAACTAATGATGAAAATTTAAACAGTCTTCGTAACTTGATTTTTTTGTGATTAATGATGCGAACTCACTAATGAGCGTACATTTAAAGTCACATTCGCTTATATTTTATGCCAACACTGTAACTTAAAAAATATTTATTTGATCGAAAAAATAAACGAATATAATAAATATCACATAGCATCTTGTTTATTTGACGAAACCACAAACTAACTTTTGATATCAACTAAGGTTCAATGCATGATGTATGAAACTATCGAAAGTTTAGCGAAATGTGGAATAATTCATTAACCAGTTTTCGAAACCATAGGAGAGTTAGTCTATAATGCATGAAATTATAAATCAAGTACAGAAGACTCATAAGGTCTCCTTTTTTAGAATATATCATGCACTAGTCATCCATTCACTCATTCTTGTCTGTGTACATACATGAACAAGAACACAAATATAATAGCCTCGTCTTCTTCTTTATTTCAATCTCTCCACCTCTCTCTCAACATCATAAGATGGTACGTTCCAATTTTCAGAAAACTTAAACGAAATGAATGTGAGAAAGTTTTTTTGAAAATTCATTATAAAAGGAAAATAGTGATATACTTTTACTACCGAATTAGATTGAGTTGATAGAATGGATATGGTTTTCTCCTGGTTTTCCACACCCACATCCATTTGTATTATCAAGTGTAATAATTGTAAATATAATCTTTGATTGTGAATTTTCATCAAATCTATTTATCTGTATATATATATTTTTCTTTTCTTTTGACATTAATTAATGATCATAGTATAGATAAATGAAGAAATATGATTTTTTTACTTGTTTTATTCTCATGTTGTTTTTATATAATTTCATCTAAGATAAAAATTATATACACAGACATACTAATATACTGTTAATCTTGCCATTATTCGCAACAACAGAATAATGAAAGTCAATGATATTTCATATATTTCGAATAATTCAATCTTACATAAATAATATTTAGGTATAAAAACAACTTATCAATATATGTTTAATACATTTATACCCCTATCAATAAGAATAAAACAAATGTATCTTATTCATTCTTTTACTTTAATAATCATATAAATTATTCTACATTTCTTATTAATATGAAGTTGAATAAAAATATTTGTTTGGGCATTGGGTTTTATTCATTTACCATTGAATACATATTCATTAATAATAAATAACTCTTCATGGACAATTGCTTATTATAAACATATTTGTATTATAATTGTTGATATGATTTTGATTGTTTTATGTGGATTTCGTTTATATGCTCTTCATCAACATTTTCGAACAGGATTACTTATAGTATATTTAATTAATATTCTATTCATTTTTTCTAAAAACAATTCATATTTATTTTGTAGTCTGCTTCATTAGTTACAATTGTTGATGTAATTGCTACTATTGCTGTTTTATTTATTTTCTTTATTACTATGTTTTTGATCACACCTATATCATTTTATACTTTTGAAATATTAACTGGTATTTTTCTATTTACAAATCTTTTTACTATTGGAATGACCACTGTGGCAAAGTTTTAATTAAATATACATTTAATCTATCAGAATTAATCAAGAATTATAAACGATTGATTCTTGAAATCCAATTAAAAACTATTATATTAATATTAAAATAAGTTTTTTTGTATTTAAATATCGATTCAGTTTATAATATTTGCTTTCATAACCAAATGAGGATGTACGGGCATATTATTCATTTATATTCACATTCACCCTCGTCGTATATCAAAAGAAAAAAAACGAAGATATGTTAGTCAAGCTGCTTGTTTGAAATAAAGTGTGATGTAAAACTCAATGTTAATACAATATTTATTGATTTGAAGTGTAAATAATTGATGAAAAAGCAACAATTATAATTTTTTTCAGGTTCAATTAAATATAAGAATCGAGTATTTAAGTATGAAACTAATTAATAATTGACTATAATGAGAGAATGTTGTTTATAATTTACAATATATATATTTATATTTGTGAGACAAGCATATTATTTCGTCTGCAGAGTTTGTTGAGAATAAGTGGACGAGTACATATGTAGTTTCAAATATACAATGAATTGCTTTGTTCAAAGTATGCAAACACGAATAGGAACTTTTTTATTTTGCAAAAATGAATGATTTTATTTTTCGAAAAAACAATTATATGAAAGGAGTAAATTAACTTTTGTATAAAAAAAGATATTTTAGCAAAAATGAAATAAAAGCAATAGAATATATTACGAACAGATGTTGAAAAATCATATAATAGTCATTATCAATTGAACTTGGTTCTTAATCTTCGTTATATTTGTTATAATGTTTAGAAGTCTTTGTATAACTTGATTTAAAAGCACTGAAGACCATGCTGGGCACTTTTTCTTTACTTCCCGGTTGACTGGTAATAAAACCAAGTTTACCTTTTGCAACATCTGCAGAAAACATTAGTTCAAGTTTGTCACCAGCTTCTATTTTCATGGCGGCTTGACAAACTAAAACAGTCGTATCACCATCTACTGTTTGAATAGTGTTCGAATCTTTTATGTCTTTGCCGTTTAGTCGCATCCACAAATGCACATCACCAATACCTTTTCCATCATAACTTCCAGTCTGCCCAGCACCCATCATAAAGTATGTTCCTGGCTCTTCGAATTCAATGACACCGTCATTGTTCTTGATACGATGTGAACCATCGTTATTACTGAGGTCAACTTTTTTCGGAGTTATACATCCCCATTGTGATTGTGAACTAGATAGTTGAGCATATGGAACTGGATTTTCTTTGGTGCCTAATTCGAATATTGTTAATAACAAACTGGTGACGAAGGGTTCGTTCTTTGGTGCCGTGGCAATTAAACCAATATCCTCGTTTGTAGTTGAGAATGCTATTTGGAGTTTATCGTTCACTTCAGCTTTGACAATGGTTTGACAGATCAAGCCTCGATCACTACCACTGCGAACACTATGAATGATATTGCTGTTTGGAATGTCTTTTCCATTGAGCTGTGGTCCTAAGTAAATCTCACCACTAGCACGAGTACCAGCAGCGCTTCCACCCTGGGCACTAAATATGACAAAATAAATTCCTGACTCATTAAATTTCACGGATCCATCTGATCTGGCTGTTGGTATACCTATTCCAGTAAATTGATCTTGGTCATACGTAATTGCTTTGGAGTTTGAAGAGCCCAACTGAGTTTTTGAACTGGGTAGAACCAAATTATGAACTGCATGATCAATATCGCTGAGCTGAATTTCTGATCTTATAATACTAGGAACTAGTGGTTCGTGTCTGACATCTACAGCAACCAAACCAAGAGAACTACATTTATTAGATGTGTGGGCTGCGATTATAACTGTGACTTCATGACCAACTGGAGCTTTGATAATTGAAACATAACTGGGTACTGATAAACTTCTTGGTTCAACTGTTTGTATACTATTTGACATAGGAACGTCCGCACCATTTTCTCGTAACCACAAGTGAAGTTCTCCTTTGCCATTTCCACTCGCGCTACCAACCTGAGCACCATATACAGTGAAATAATAACCAGGAATTTCGTATAAAAATGTGTTATTTTTAACAGTAGAATAGCCGTTCAAACCATCAACTATATTGTATGTGATCGCTTTTGGACTTGATTCAGTTAGTTGATTCTGTGAACTGGATGCTTGAAGATATGCGACATCATCAATTATTTCATTATCATGTTCTTTGTCATTCGATTTTCTGTAAACAAAAAACAATATCAATCTTATGTATATGATACTAACAAAACAGTTTATCAATGATACTTGTGAAAGCTAATCATTGGATTAAACCAAAAATTGTATAAAATACTCAACTTATTGTTTAGTATCGTATCTCGAAAGCTGAACTACCGTTTGATTATGAGTAGTCAATTCATTTAGTCTATTTCATGAATAAGATTTTCTACAAGTATATATAATCTAGTTTTATCAAAATAAGAAAAAGAAGAATCTTTGAATCGAACGGAATAAAAAGATATCTCATCTTCAATCTTGTCTTTTTCTCATCTATGATAAACTATTAATAAAGATAACAACAATGAATGTCTTATTCATGATTGACAAATCTTACCCAGGTTTTGTCCATTCTGAGTTTGTAGTTGAACCGGTTGATTTAAAAACACTAACGATAATACTCGGCACAGCTGACTCCTTATGTGGTTTGGCTGCAACTATACCAAGTGTACCTTCTGTGACATCTGTAGCAATTACTATTTCGAGTTTATCACCCTTTTTGAGTTCGACAGCAGTTTGACAAACTAAAACAGCAGTATCTTTTTCTACTGTTTGAATCGTGTTGGAATCTGCCATATCTTCACCATTTAGTCGCAACCACATGCGTACATCACCAACACCGCTATCATCGTCACTTCCAACTTGACCAGCAGCCATCACAAAGTAAGTTCCTGACTCTTCGAATTCTATGACACCATTATTGTTTTTGATGTGGTTTGAACCATCATTGTTATCAAGTTTAACTATCTTCGGAGTTGTACAGCCCCATTGCGATTGTGAACTAGATAGTTGTGCATATGCAATTGAGTTTTCTTTGTTAGATAATCGAAATGTTGAAAATAATATACCAGGTACAAGTGGCTCATTCTTTGGCTTCGATGCAATCAAACCCAGTTCTTTATTTGTAGTTGAGAATACTAGTTGAACTTTATCTTTAGCTTCAAGTTTAACAACTGTTTGGCTGACTAGGACTGCTGTATTACCACTGCGAATAGTTTTAATTGTGTTACTGTTTGGCATGTCTTTTTCATTGAGTCGCATCCATAAATGAACTTCACCCGATGCATCAGTATCTTTAGCACTTCCGACTTGAGCACAAGCTATGAGAAAATAAACACCTGCTTCATTGTACTTGATGATTCCATGTTTTTCCGCTGTTGTTATGTCTAGTTTATTGACTGCACTAGAACCATCGAGTATAACCACGTCGGAGTTCGAGTTGCCTAACTGAGTTTTGGAGCTGAATAGTTGTGCATACGGAATTGTGTTAGTACCACCGCTGATTTGCACAGTCGATATTATAATACTGGGAACCAATGGTTCGTGCTCTGGTTGTGTAGCAATTAAACCGAGAGAAGTACATTCATTAACTGTGAAGGCTGAATACAAGAATGCGAATGTACAATCGACAGGAGTTTGAAAAACTGTTGCATAGACAAGAACCGATGTACTTCCATAATCGACCGATTGTATACTATTTGAGTTAGGCTCGTTCTTACCACTTTGTTGCATCCACATATGAATATCTCCTTTACCAACTCTCTGTGGACTACCAGTCTGAGCAGCAACCACAGTGAAATAAACACCAGCCTTTTTGGGTTCAAATGTACCATTGTAGGAGGCAGTGAAATCATTTGATCCATCATTTTTATTGTATGTTGCCACTTTTCCTTTTGCGTCACCTATTTGATTCTTTGAACTCGATCCTTGAAAGTATGCGGCGCCGTCATTTCTTTTGTCGTTAGCTTCAATGGTTGATAACTCGCTGGTAAGAGCAAATAATACCAATATTATATTTAATATTTGATATTGTTTTGCCATTTTAACCAGTCAGGTGCTGATAATTGCTTTTCTTTTTCAAATATTTCCTCACAAAATAATTAGGTTAAGAAGAAAAGTATATATTACTTATCTAAAAAACAAAAATCAAAACATTAGATATGTGTTACATAAATGAGAGTGTCGGCGTAGATTAGGATTTGTATGTAGAAATTAAAAAGAAACTACATCTACATCCACCCTCAAGATGGTCTGTTGGGATCTCCAGGATCTTTGATAGTTCACCATGGTCTATCAAGATTTACCAGAATCTATCAGAATTTATCACGAAATCAATGACCTCTCAGGGTTTATGAGAGGCCACAACGTTTATCATGATTAATTAGAGACCTTAGGGTCTATTAGGGTTTATGAGAGTCCTTAGAATTTATTAGAGACCTCAGAGTCTATTAAGGTTTACTAGGATTTTCAGGGCCTAATAGGATTTGTAAGAGTTATTAGGGCTTATACGAATCCTGAGAGCCTATCAGAGTTCATTAGAGACTTCAGGGCGTCTCAGGGTTTATAAGAGTCCCCAGAGCATATCAGGATTAATGAAAAACCTTAGTATCTATCATGGTTTACGAGAGCCCTCAGAGCCTATGTGGGCTTACGAGGATTTAAGGGCCTATCATGGTTTACGAGAGACTTCAGGCCCCATCAGAATTTACCAGGAACCTCAGAGCCTATCAGAGTCTACTGGAATCTGATTGAATTTGCGAGGGTGTTGACTTGGTGTCTATATTTTCATCTTCACCCTCACTCATAGCTATGTATTGTGTGAGTCTGTCGATGTATTGTTTTGGTTCGGTCCTCAACCTTGAGGGCGTGGGTGTGGATGTGGATATCAAAATACGATGTCCATACCTACACTCTCAAGATGGTTATACTTTTATTGATCAGATATCACTTCGAGTACTTCAAGAAACCTCTTTTAAATAGGATTCTTTACAAAGAATGAAATAACTACATTTAAACTCATCGGTATCTAATCTCATATTTGCTTTTAACGATGGTCAGCTCAATTCTATGAAGTTCTATGGCGCAATGATCGATAATTAGTGAGAGATGTGTCGACTTACGTTACTCAAAATTTTGGTATCATACGTTTTGATGAAAAAAAGAAGTTAGAACACACGAATCTAAGTACAATTAAAACTTACTGCAAAGGATTATTTTGAATACAAAAAATGAAAAAAAGACAACGACTGTTGATTTGAAATAAAAAGTACGCTTATCTTGCTTGGGAATAATATGATGAATATGAGTTCTTGATGTTTTTATCAAGCAAAGCTCACCTTTAAATAGGAACTCGCGAAGGGTCGTTTAATTACTGTAATAGATAAAGAGAAGAAGACTATTTTAGAGTAAAACTGATGATTATGCAGAAAAACACACAAGTCATCATATGATATTATTTTCATGTGTTATCATCCTAGTTATCATCATTTCTATATGTATATACACAACACTCTTTTCACTTCAAGAGCTGCAGTTATTATACAAAATATTATCTGAAGTTTCGTAATTGTTGATATAATGGCCCTTGAAAGCTGCTAGCAAACGTCGTATACATCGATTATTCTTTCATTTTCGTAACGAAAATATCGTTACAATGGCCAAAATAAATCTTTAGAGTATCACATGCTTCGAAGTTGAGAACGAGCAGGCAGATGCATGTTATCACAACATGTGATGTTGAGAGTGAATATATACAAAGAGATCTTTGCAATAGATAAGAATAAGAAAACAAAAACAACTCCAAAGTATTGTGCTTGATGAAAGTAATAGGTGGTGTTAAAAAAAAGATTTTGTACGACGCTAAAACAGATTTCTTTCATGGATATAAAGTTCAACAACTTTTTGGGTCTTTACGAAAGCGAATTCGTAGCAAACCAGGTTGTCTCACTATTTCAATAGGTTTATTCTACTCATAAAATAAATTAACTAATTCTAATTGCTAGGGTGGGTGTGAAATATCAATCGAAAACAGATTGCTCCGTCCGTCAAAGGAAAGACAAATATATTGTATTAATCTAAACTCTTTCTTTTTAGCAATCGAGTTGCATCTTAAAAACTAATATTCTTTTCGACATGTGCTTAGGAAACAAAGTTAAATGCAGTTTTAACGTCATCGACCCACTTCATGTTATTTATTTTGAATCAAAATTCTCATCAGAGTTCTGTAAACCTAATAAGTACTTTGAGAAAAAGAATATGACGAAGAGAGTAAAAATTAAACTATTAGATAGGTATGAAATCAATAGTTGTGACATATGTATCTGCAATATAAAAATGATGAAATTACTAAATGTGTCGAAGTGATCACAATGTTTCTCATTTTGTATGTATCTCGACTTTGAGTACATGGTAAAACATTTATTTTTTTTTTATAAAAGATGCACCATGAAAAGTTCCACAAAAGTTATATAAGAAAGTCAGTATCGGTATGCACTATTGATATACTAAATAATTCAGAGTATGGATGTAGATGTAGATGAAATAGAATATCTACACTCACATCCACATCCTCTAATTTAATAGGTTCTGCAAAAATATGTTATATGATTTTAAATTTATTTAAATAAAAGAAAACGTCTCTCTCATTTTGTAAGATTTTATATATTTGTCAATACTTTTCCTTAGAGTATCATTACCAATGCTTTAGTTCATTCATTCATTCACATAAGTCAAAGCTATTTGTTGAATAACGTTTATATCGTATATCATTCGAACACATAATTTTAATGAATTATCAACTCACTATGTTATTTCCATATATTTTTCAGTTGTATGAAACATTTTCATGTGTGAATGTATAACGACTATATGACTAAAATACTTGCAAAATAAGATCTACGTCTTTATTTTTATTTCTCATATCTTACATAAATTTAAAGTAAAAATGTAAAGCGTCTAATATAGAAATTCTTATATAATTATTAAAATAGTATAACTTGAGAAAAAATGTTTACATGACATATTTATTTAAAGACATCTACACTATATCTATTAGTTCAGATTTTCTCAAAAATGGGTGTGGGTGGATGATGGCGTGCATATGACTGTCTCTGTTGACCCTTATCTTCACGCACATCCACACACCCTTAGTATGATTAATCGAAATAGTGGTGAATTATATAGATAAGTCTTAGTCTTTATTAATCTGGATTGTTCTGATATGTTTTTGAAGAAATGAATGATTTATGAAATTCAACTATTTAACAAAATGAGACAATAGTATGAAATGAGCATAGTATTTTATTTCTTTTATTATTTTCGTTTGCAACAAACGATCGTTGTGGATAGAAGTAGCATATGTAATTAATACAATTTATCCTTAATATGGATGGCAAATATACAGTTTATATATAATACATAGTGTAAATTAAAATTTCTCTATAAAAAAGCATTGCCATCATATTTGGATAAGTTCAATAGATATAATGAAAATGACGTAAACCATACTTTAAACAAAAACAATGTACAGAGTTTATAGTTTAGGTTTCTGTATAAATAATTATAACATAATTATACAGTTGGAGATAATATTACTCTAGGGACGTAACGATATAATGTCAAATACAGTAACTGATAAATTCGATAGCAAATGAATGCTCGTCAAAAATGGATTTTATTGGTAGTAAATAGTGAGAGTTATTACAATATTTTAACGTCGAATGTGAGAAATCTTCAGAAACTGCAGTTTTTTCGGGTATAAGATTAAAGCGCGACTGATTCAAAACAGAGTAAACATGATTTTTTTTCCTTGAATATTCTTACATGATTCAATAGAGCTTATCGAGCTTTATAAAACTGTATATATTAGAGGATATTTAAGCAGTTTTCCTGAAAAATAACGATCCAGAAAGTACCCAGAACACTAATTTTCTTTCGATGGGGGAAAAACATCCGATTTTTCAATGAAATGAGTTTTTTTTCATCACTTTTACAAGAGCGAATGCTTCAAAATATGCTCATTATAGACAGATTTTCACGCGCCATCTAACGATTATATATTGAAGCGTTTGTCTGTGTAAAAATAATGAAAAAAGCTCATTTCATTGAAAAATCGGATGTTTTTCCCCCATCGAAAGAAAATTAGTGTTCTGGGTACTTTCTGGATCGTTATTTTTCAGAATAACTGCTTAAATATCCTCTAATATATACAGTTTTATAGAGCTTGTCGAGCTCTATCGAACCATGTAAAAATATCTGAGAAAAAAAAAACATGTTTATTCTGTTTTGAATCAGCCACACTTTAATTTGATACCCGAAAAAACTGTGAAATTTCTGAAGATTTCATACGTTTGACATTAAATAGTGTTAATAACTCTCACTATTTACTACCAATAAAATCCATTTTTGACGAGCTTTCACTTAATATGAAATTATAGCGTTATTTTCTTAGAACAGTATTTTTTCGAATCGTATCTATATATGTACTTGTTTTATGAAATAAGATATAATCGAAAGCAACCGCTGTACTAGCATCATCTCTCTCCACTTTAACAGTAATGATCTACGATGTATTTAAAACGTCAAAGAGTATGTGTAAAGAAAGTAAACATGTTGTAAACATTATTATTAATATTTGTAATGGCATAATAACGGTGTATTTTTTTCTACTGTAAGTGCAAATTTATTACCATCTTCTTTTGGCAACACAATTTTTGTTTGACGATATAATTTCCATTATTTTGATTATAACAATTAAACACAGTTTCACACACGGTTTATTTCTAACGTTGTTTCGGAGAAAAAATAAGTCTTTTGAAATTACTTTTGTTTGATACACACATGTGATATTATAATAACATAGGACTCAAAAGAAAGATAGAAAAAACACCATTCTATTAGATCGATGTACTTCATTTGAAGAAAAAAAGATTGTGATTATTTCTTAAGACTAGCAATTATTGTAGTTACTTTTGAATGCTAAGAAGCAGTTTCTCTTAATTCATTCATTCATTTCATAAAACGTTTCTTACGCTAACACATGGAACTAAACTTAAGATAAAATGATCTTATATTAAAAACAACTGAACTGATATTCTGTGTAAAACAAGTTCTCAATAACTACGTAGTTTTGCCCTCTGTCTGTATATATCTCAGAGATATCCATCGCGACTGAAAACCCACCGCTGCCGCAATGGGATTTTCAAGGCTGAGATTGGTTTAAACGAGAGCTAATGATGCTAATTAATCAGATTCGTCAAGCTTTACACTGCAGCATACGTCAATGTCGCAATTATGAGTAACCTTAAGATTTTTTAATACTGTTTCCTAGAAAAAGTTGCCGCGAGCGCCACGGCGGCAGCGGCAGCGCTGTCATGGACATCTCTGATATATCCTAAGAAAAAAATCTTTTTTTTAAATGCATGTTTCTCTCAAAGTGAAGCTCTGCTACACAATCCAGGCAAACAGAAGATGGAAACTAGTGTTTCATCATAATGATGGAATAGAAGAAAAATATGTTGTGTAAAAAGAAATATAAAGAAAGAGGAAGAAAAGTTGAAATTGTATTTAAGGCTATGTCTTCGTAATATATTTCATTTAAACTTAAATTTTTTTCTTAACTAATATTTTTATTGGTTATGGAGTGGAAAAGAAACTCTGTATTCCTTTTGTTCCTTCTTGTTACACAATCAGGCACACAAGATACGCGATCACTATACCTATCTATCAAGGATGATTGCCAATTTCAATGTTCCAACACAACTTGCTTGCCATTTGCCACTATCATTGTATCGAGCATCCGCCAGTGTTATATGACTTGTCTAGCTCAAGTCCATTGTCAGGCAGTTACTTTTCATAAATCATCTTCTATTTGTGAACTGTTTGTCGATATATTAAACCAAAATGGCAATATGCTAGCTAATATCGACACTATTACTATGATTGCAACAGCTGGAAGAGAAATTCCACTCGGTTAGTAAGAATACAACAGTTTAGTAAATATATTTTTGAGAAGACTAACGTTGTCCTATTTGAATGAACTCGAAACTGCTAGTTTTATCAGACAACGCGATTCTTAAGAAATTCCATTGGTTGTATACCCGGTTGGAATTAATATTATTTCAGGAAGATAACGCTATAACTTTAAATACTGCAGCTAATGAATTTTATACCAAATGAATGCTCGTCGATCAAGAGACTCATTGATACTAAATAGTGAGAGTTATCACAATATTTTAAAATCGAATATAAGAAAATTTCAGAAATTTCATACTTTTTTTCGCGTAGAAAACTAACCCGTGACTAATTCAAAGACGGAGTAAGCATTTATTCTCTTGGATATTCTTACATGATTCGGTAGAGCTCGTCGAGCTCGATAAAACTGTATATATTAGAAACATTTTAAGCAGTTTTTTTGAAAAATTATTTTAATGCATTCAAAACTAGAAACACTGTTAGTCGGTCGTGAAGTATTGAATTCTAAAGAACACCTTATCCGCTCTTCTTATCTCATATATATCCCATTTTTCTAAAAATAGAACTAACAACAACATCAACAAAAACGTCAACATTAACAACAACATCGTCATCAACAACTACATCAACAACAGGTGAGTTATTTAAAACTTTTTCAAATTATTAGAAAAATTGTATTTTGTTGGTATAATATACAAACTACAATAATATAACATTCATAATTTTCTAAAACTATTTGCAATATGTGATCATTAGATCATGTACAGCGTTTCTAAATAGATTGATCATAAAAATAGAATCAGAACATCTTAGTTGTTGTATCTCAAAAATGTATTTATTTCTACAACGGATTCATAACAGATATGTCAGATGAATTGTTTTTATACAAGTCGACATCGGGCTGGAGTTCGCATGAATCAATCTTAGCGAAACATAGTAGAATTGGTCAGTCTGTTTCACAGGTTTCAACTTTTGACTCATCCACTAAAATGAAAAGATAGATTTTATTGGCAACCAAAGAATCACTTTTGGATCAATCCATAAAATTAACTACATCTCTGAGAAAATAGTTACGAAAAAGAAGTTCCACGAAAAAGATATCGTGGCAACATTGCATAAGTTCTCCATCAGCGTCTTCATATAAACTATTTGATGAGATAATTCAAGAGACTCCCGTTTTCATCCTGAAGTTTTCATACCGATATGATATCATCTTGTATGCGACTTAAAAAGTAATCTTAATCTATGACAGATCTTTACTTTATTTCGTCGCCGGATTAAATGATTTCATGAAAAAATAAAGTCAAAACAATTAGGATTAATGATACATTAGAAGATACAAATTCCCTTTTATGTATTCCATATGTGTATTCAGAAACAAAAATATTTAATTCAATTTTAACTTAACTTAGAAATTAAAGTTTTACATTTTTAAGTGCTTTGTTTCTGTCAAACTCAGCTTCTTTACCTGAATAGTTACTGATCTTATGCATCACACGGATTAAGACATATTTAACTGGTCTATAAGTGTTAAATAGTAAAATAGTTGTTCTTCTTCTACATTTTTATAGTATGTCCCGTATCTTCTCAATCGATCTGGTCACAAACTGCTACTACTGTATTTGGTAGCTAAGCAGGCGCATCTGGCTCTACCCTTTCGCTTCTTTCTCAACCAATTGGAATGTATTATGACGGACCTAACAACATTTTAATCGTTGGAGATTATGGAAATCAACGTATTTTACAATTTTCTCTCAATAATCCGTCGTCAGTTGCAACAGTAATTGCTGGAAGTAATGGCGCGGGTTGTAACCTGAATCAACTTAGTGTTGCTATCGGAGTAGGTCTTGACAGTTCTGGTCGATTGTACGTAGCAGATACAAGCTGCAATCGAGTCATCAGATTTCCACCGAATTCAACTTCGACGACATCTGGTACACTTCTCGGTTCTATAAATATACCACAAAATCTATTCATAAATCCATTGACTAGTGATATATATGTAGTTAGTTATGATGATAATGCGGTATACAAATTTGTTGGAGGCAGTGGATCACCAGTGATTGCAGCAGGTATATAAGGCTCATTCGAAGATATCTTTTGTTTAACATAGATTCTATTTCCATATATAGGTGGTAATGGAAATGGAAATGCTTTAAATCAGCTTTCAGGTCCAAATGGTGTTTATTATGATTATTTATATACAAATTCTTTGTACGTTACCAATACTGGTAATTATAATGTAATGAAGTTTCCGTCAAGTTCAACCAGCGCAACTTATGGAACAGTTGTCGCTGGAGGTAATGGAATTGGAAGTGGAGCAAATCAGTTCAATAGTCCAAGATCTATACTGGTCGATAGTCAAGGAACTCTCTATATATCTGATGGAAGTAAGAGAAATTTGAGAAAAGAAAATATTTTATAGATTTAACAATTTTCTTTGACTTTTCTTCATATTCAGATAACAATCGTATTCAACGTTGGTTGAAAAATGCGACGAGTGGTACTACAATCATTGGTGGTACACAAGGAACAGCATCGAATCAACTCTATTTCCCTGAAATGATCCTCTTTGATAAATATGGTAATTTATTGGTTGTTGATAGAAGTAATCATCGAATACAACTCTTTAATTTAACAACATGCTAGTGTACAAGGACTTTCTATTGATTATTATCATTAACAGTAAAAATTTAAAAAAGCTGGTTAATGTGTTGCCTTTTTCTTGATTTTTCATAAGTGTTCAACCTTAAAACATGTCTCTTTCTTACATGAAATCTTCGCCTACATATTGTTTTCTTTTTTTGTGTTTGTTTCCTCGTATTATACACTGCATATACATAATCTTGTATAAATATACATGCGGTCATTTCTCTTTTGTTGTATTTTGTTGGGCTTGGTGTCATTGTGATTGTATATGCACACTTATATATTTAAAATAAAGATAAAAATGATTACTCAAGAAATATTCTAATAATTGACTGTGTGTTCAATCCATAGAATTAAAACAATATGGACTATGCAATTAAGATCTTTGTCCAGTGTTTTATCTAGAGTGGGGGAGCCACCCCTCGGAAATATAAAATTATTATATTAAAAAAAATTGACATTTTCTTTATTTTTTTGTAGCATAACACTTTCGCTATACTCTTTCATCAATCAGTGATGTATAGTTTGTTTTTTCAATGAGAAAAGAAGAGAACAGTCGGATATGAATACTATATAACTGTTTAACGTTGTACTAAATGGTCTATTATCTATTATTCATCATGATGTTCATTCAAAAGATGAAAAAAATTCGTTTGTGTTAGTTTATTTGTTCTTTTACGTCGTATATTTCATATCAGTCACATTGTTCAATGAATGTCATCAGGACAAAAATCTTTGACTTCCTATTTTAAAAGAGAAGAAAATGAAGAAATCAACTAACAATGAAAAAAAATGTGCGAAGAATTTCGATTCAGTATAGAATTTTTCTCGAAGTCTTTTATTTTTTGTTTCAGTATTTATTTTCATAATGTATTGATAGCAAGACAAAGATTTACTTGTAAATCCCTCCCTATAATAAAAGTTCCCTCTGAGACGAGCAACATGTTTGGCGTATTAAAAGCTCTACTAATTTTTCTAAAAAACATTTTTGAGATTTTGTTGAATTTTCCTGCTAAAACTTCTCGATTTTAAGATGAAATTTCGACGAACTCCTATCTAACTGTGTTTAAATGTGGAAAAATTGCAAAAAATCTTTTGAAAAACTCGTGAAAATCTCTGGAAATCTTGTGAACCAATCATCTTAGCATAGTCTATGAAAATTTGTTGAGACTTAATAGAAGCCTCCTCCAAAAATTATAAACGGTAGACAAATTAGAAGTCCCCGAAGGCTTCTAATATGCGGAGGAGTTAACTGTGAATTAAATAAATAAAAGTTTGTTTTTTGTTATATCAAAAAAAATTTTACACAGCAGTTTTTTGAAAACTACACTTGCCCACTCGAAACATAAAACTTAGATAAAACACTCTTCGGTAAGATACATCATATATATATTAAATTATTAGAAGAAGAAAAAACTTTCAATTTAGATAATAACAGATTGTTTTATTCCATATTCAGTACATGAAGATAATCCATATCTTAATGTAATATTAAGTTCAATTGATAAAATAACTATACGACAACAACAATCAATATCAATTAGTATTAAACAAGAAGAATATCATAATAGGAAAATTACTAATAATTCATCATCATTAATAACAATAAACCATTTTCGATATTTACTTCTATTTGTTATATTTATTTTATATATATATTGAAAGTCATAGTCTTTTGTTAGCAGAAGGAAGACATATAGACATGTTAAATTACTTTTTCTTCGCTGCATGCTATCGGTAAATGAAGCGAGAAATTAATCTTTTCGAGTCGAATGATAGTGATCGATCAATAAATATGATGTTGTTTTAGCGATAGAAAGAAAAAGTGTGAAGTGATTGTATTACTATGTACAGAAAATATACTTTTTACTTGCAAGGTATAATGGATTTAAAATCTTATCAAGCTTTTTTCATGTACTATTAGCAAGAAAAATATTTGATGGAAGTAGATTTCATTTTCAAAGGTCACGCTTCAAAAAAAATTCAAATTCATGATTCTGTTTCTAATCTTACTCAAGACAGTTATGAAATAATGGAGACATTTTTATTATATTCAAATAAATATAAGGCTTGTTATTGAATCAAATATCATCTTACTATTGCTGTATAAGCATCTTACCTATGGTAAAAGATTCAGTTACAATAATCGTAAGTTGGCTTCGATAGTCTATGACCCTAAATTATTTCAAAATTTGATAAATGGCATTGAAATCTACTCTTGAACAAAATACCAAGTCTCACTTCAAAAAGGACTTGAAATATTTCTTTCTACGGACAGTTAATTTAACTTCAATTAGATATTTAAATAAACGGAAATAATATTCTTTCATGATTTATATACATTATTGTACTACTATATCATAAATATATGCTCTAACAATACAAAAGATTCATAATATTGTCGTTTTATCAAGCGACATGCTTTTAAACAAAATTATAATATACTTCTCTGTGCAATGGATATTATAGTTTTCCTTTTTATATATATTTTATTCGTGCATAATATAGATATATTGAAAGGAGGTAAATATCATTATTATTTCTATCCGTCGTATGCTTTCTTCTTTATGTTTGAGAAAGTCTATACTACCTCACCAAATAAAAGAAGAATTATAGAGTATAAATCAAGAATAACGAAGGCAATGCAGCAAATTAAGACGTAGTGTTTTATTAATTTCTATATTCTACATAAAATATTATATTATCTAATTCTATCATATTTAATCTGAAAAAAGATCATAAACAGTCTTCAAAGTCTGCTGATGATGCTTTAGCATTGTAATGTTTATAATACTTTTGTTTCTGCTTCATCGTTGACTGCATCTTTGGTTGTACTAAGTGTTGGTTGAAATGCTTTAACATGAATTTGGGATGATGGATGACCACATTCAACTAATAAACTTTCAATTTTATCCATAAATGGTACCGAACCGCATATATATACTTGTGTATCTGATTTTAATACTTTTGCTAAATTATATTTTTCTAACCGTTGACCTTCACAAAAGAATTGATAATGACCTTGTGGAAGTATTGCTTTAAGTTCATTATTAAAAGCTGCATAGTCTTCTGACTGTACACAATGAATTAAAATTGCATCATTTGATTTTCCTTGATTATTTAATTCATGAATCATGGATGAAAGAACTGTTATGCCAACTCCACCTCCAATAAATAAATGATGTTTACCATTTTCAACTAATTGAAATGTTCCAGCTGGAAAACTTGCTAATATTGTATCACCTATGTTATAATTATTTATTATTTCATTTGAAACAATACCTTTAATTTCATTCATATTTTGAATTTGAATAGCAATTGAATAACTTTTACCATCAAATGGTCGAGTAAGACTATAATGTCGATTATGAAAATTTCCATCTTTTTTTATACGAATTGTTAAATATTGTCCAACATGAAAATTAAACATTTTTCCATGTTCAGAACGTTCTAATGTTAATGCAACTATTGATTCATGTGCAATAACTTCTTTTTTAACAATATATAATGGAACAAAACCTTTATCTTCTTCATTTGGACCAAGTTCATCATATAATTTTTTTTCTAAGTCAATAAATATATTTGCAATAATATCATAAGCAGCTGCCCATGCATCTAAAATATCTTGTGTTGATTTTTCACCTAAGAATTGTTTTATTGCTAAAAGTAAATATTTTCCAACAATAGGATAATGTTCAGGTTGAATAGTTAATGCTCGATGTTTATGTGTAATATGTTTTATTACTGGCATAATTGCTTCTAAATTATCAATATTTTCAGCAGCAAAATAAATTGTATTGGCTAATGCTAATGGTTGTGTTCCTATTTTTTGATTTGTTTGATTAAATATATCTAATAATTCCGGATGATTTTCAAACATTCGTTTATAAAATATTGATGCTATTTCTTTTCCATTTTCTTTTAAAATAGGTGCAGTTGATTTGATAATAGATTTTTGTTCTTCTGTAATAGACATTTTTCAATAAAAAATTTAAATATAAATTAATATCGATATATCTGTTCGGAAGATGTAATAGAAAAGAATTTCTGTACTCAATAAGTACTGCTCAATATATCAATCTATATATATAGCTTTTTTTTCATTGTGCATTCATACGAGAAAGAACAAGCGAAAAGAGAGCATTGAGTAGAAAGAATTGTTATTTCAGATTCAGAAGAATTTAATCATGAAAGATCTTTAGTTCTAATATAAAAGAGTAATTCAAAAATAAGTGATAATTAATTCAGTGACGGAATATGTGGACATCAACAAACAAATTGTGTTTATCCAAGACGAAATCATCTCATCGAATATCAAACAACTAAATAAAAAAGTAATGTGAATAGCTAAGAAAGGATAGTAAAAATGATTGTATTATCTATTCGAAGCCAGTCATTTTGTAAATGAAGAAACAATGCTGCGATAGCTGCTTTAATATATAATTGGCACTATCATTATAAGTACTTTTTTTTCTTATTAACGCATAACGAGAATATGCCCTTGAAAGTTTAATAATGAAAAAGCTGTCTATCGATGAATAAGATGATTTTTATAGAAAAAACTGTCTATCAAAAGATATAACTTGTTCTTAATATTTAATCTTCGTATTTTCATACTGTCTATTGGGATGATATAATTTTTATATGAGTTTCAGTCTGTTTGACAACCATTAGAATATTGTCAATGAAAACAATATTGTTTTTAGGATTACACTATTGAAATAAGTTGTTTTCCTTACTATGGACAGAATACGTTCATCGAAACTCGATATAGCTGGCCCTAGACTGTCGAGATATGAATGAGAGTTAATCAATATTAGTTTTGACTTGTAGTAGAAAAACAAATTGAATTTCTACTTTATATAAAATCAAGCATTTTCTAGAAGTTCGATATTTGACGAATGAATAATAAAGTTTAAAAATGCTTTCATTTTATTAAAGACAATTTTATGAAAAATAGGTTTTCATAAAAAAATTACAGTGTAGATCTCTCTATCATTATATATCGAAATTGATTTTGAACTTTTTTATCTATATGCACTATGGCAAGACTATGAAACTGACAATCGTATTAAAAATGTTTTGCAATAATGCAACAACTATATGTTTCTTAACTTCTAATTCTGGATTTTATATTTTTGAGTTGCCCTACAGGACGTTTCGGCACATCATCGTTTTTTTCAAACATGTATTAAAAATATTCGTTCATGATAATCAACGACATGCTGTATAAAAATAGGCGAACATTTTTTTCAAAGTTTTATAATACTCTGTATATCGGCTTGTCCAAACGTAACGCTGTTACGTTTTTGACATATTCTTCTTCAATTATCTCGGAAAGTGTAATAGCTAGAACGTTCGTTCAAACGCCATTCGATGCAGCTTATCGAACTCTACTTATTCTATAAAAAAGATATTTTTTTGTTGAAGCCTCGGATATCTGTAAGGGTTACATTGTCGCGTAACACTGTTACATAAAAAGACTCTTATTCTTCAGTACTACCAAGAAAACTCTAATTTCTTGCAATATATTTTGTTGAAAAGAAATGCTCTTAGAACTACGTTTGTAGAGCTTTAAACGAGCTTTCTAAAACCAAAAAAACTTTTCTTTTAGCTATTTTTATTTGTGTGAAAAATGCAAAAAACAAACGTAACGCTGTTACGTTTTTCGTAACGCTGTTACACACTTTTTTGTGAGCCATTTTTGAGGTAGTTAATATCGTCCGAATGATTTGAATTTTTTAACGGTTACTCATTACTGTGTAGATGAACGTCTACTAAAGAATCAGATTAATTCATCCACGAGGGAGCTCAAAAACTGGACAGGCAGTTGGGGAGGGTATTGGAGGTTAAAAATTGTTACCAGCTATTAAAATCAAAACTAAATAGGCCATTTTGTAGAGAATCCAATTCTGCATTGAATGATACGTCTCTCGAAAGTTTTTGGGAAACTTTCATGGGTAGAAGACTCAAAATACGATTTTTCAAAAGTTTAAAACTCAGTTTTTGATAATAAAATCTGAATTTTTTATGAAATAAATCTCAGATTCGTAATCAGCGTTAAAAACTGCGTCTAACAGCTTGTTCAAATCTGTTCAACTCGAAAAAAAAAATTTTAAAAACTTGATCGGCGAAGTGTCGCGTTACGTGGACAAGCCGATTATCTCTATCTATGAGATTTATTCGAATTCTATACATACAAAACTCAAGTTTTATATTTTAAAATTAATTTTTGTGTATTTTAGGATGATGATAATTGCAATGCATTAATCTTTTGCACAATTTGTATAAAAAAATACTTAACAAAATCACACAGATTTATGGAAGATAAACATATCGGTTAGTAAAATTACTTTTATAATAAATATGAAAGTATTTTGTTGTATTGTGCAAAACTTGTCCTTATTGAAAGAGAGAAATAATTATTTTCAATGCAAATATAATAATGAAATAATTTAGTTTCATGTCAGTTTACATAATAGAAAAAAAGCTATTAAATCGAGTTTTCCAAGTGAAAGCTGAAGTTGTTTACATATAATCGAGAAATTCCGAAGGATATTTGATGTTGTTATGTCGACTTAATATATAAAAAGACATTATGAATCCACATAAAGCCTTGCAGTTGTACAATAAGAATGATCCACACCGAATCATAGCTCATATATGAGATTCATATATAAATGGATGATGGCAAGAAGGAATCACTCATTTCAAAATTGCACAAAAAGATTAAAAACGTTACTATATCGTAAATAATTACAAAAAAAACAAACTGTTTCATATGAATTTCATCTGTTAGATATATTTTATCAGTTTAGGAAATAATAAATATTAAATAATCATGAATGAAAAACTTATATTTTTAAAGATGCCAAAACATTGGAAGATTTATTAAAGAATATAATTATCAATGAAAATCTTGTTTATAATTACAAATCAGAATTTGTGAGGGTATGGGTGATGTAGGTATGCAGGTATGGGTTATGGTTACGAAAAGATAGATACCCATACCCACACCCTCAAAAATATTTTGCCTATTTTATTGTTATTGAAAATCGAAACCCCAATAATTTATACATATGCTGATAGCCCGTCTTCTGTTCTATCGAACCATATACAGATCAGATAACTTGGCTTAATTAAATAAGCCTGTTACAATGCACACTTTCAGGAAATTGATCCCATGATAGTAGGGTACTGCCGAATTCGGATGGATGGAGGTATAGTCGATTTTGTAGAGCTTCACTTGCTCTATCTCTTGGTATATAAGGCTTATCATCCGGTTTCGATTTTCATCCATTAGAGAGCTCAAAACATTAATCTACTCCTATATAGGGTTGTGCATAACCTTTTCTAGGGGATAGCGGTATAATTTCAAGTAGAATACTTAATGAATTTTACACCAAATTATTTCGCATCAAAAGCTGGTTTTATCAATATTAAACAGTAAGAGTTATCAAAATCTTATATTGCTGAACCACAAATTATTCGGGCATTTTCTAGTCTTTTTAGCATAGGGTGTGGTGTGGGCGGGTTTGAGTGTCTTTGCTTTAAAGTCACACCCATACCCTCAAGTACCTTTAAAAACATACAAATACTTTTTTATGATTTACTAATGAAATGAACCTCAGAAGCTTTAGTAGTTATGATTATTTCGTACATATTGATTACATTATTGGTATGAATAAAAGAAGAGTACATTGAAATATTTTTAAATTTTAATGAAATTATTGAAAAGACATTCAAAGCAACAATAACAAATAGAGAAATACTAATGCTAGTTATGAAGATGAAGGTGTAGGTGAGAGTGAGTTTGAGAAATACGATAAAGTAAAATTTTAATCTATGTTAGGCGAAAAATTAATTAAAAAATTATCTGCCATATCCGCCGTCGATAATTGGTGGCA